TTTTTTTTTTTTTTTTTTTTTTTTTGCAAATTATACTGTGTAATATACTTCCTTGGCTCGTGTTTTATTTTGCTCTTTCAGACTTTCATGCGTTTAATGAAAGAAAAGATACATTATGTAACAATTTTTATTTACCCCGTTGAAATTCATAAAACAAATTCAATCTATACGATAGCGGTTGAAACAATTGAATTCGAATTTGTTGTTGAGAAATTTCTGCTTTTCATCTGATAATGTAGTTGTCGTGTCTCCTCGTTGTAGCTTCGAATTACTTGTTAATGTGCCGTGAAACGTGATATTAAGATACACGTGCTCCGACATTATTGCACATGCATGTAGGCATTTAGAATCGCATCCGACGAACTCGTGCCTGTCTCTCTATGTAATTCGTACGGCACGACACGTGAATATCTAATAAATAATACATAATTTATACTGGAATAACATTTGACAAAGACTTAACAGAGACTTCATCAAGATTCAAAATTTGCAAGGCTGTGAATTTACGTAACACGTATTGGCTATGTCTGTGAAATCGAATTTATCGTTTCGCCTGTAAAAGGAAACAAGTGGGAAATACATTGCTCTTCGTTCATCAATTTTGAAACATTTAATTTAGTTTTTTTTACCGGCAGAACTTTACACGCGCGCGACTTCCTTCCAATTTTTCCAGACGGTGTAAACCGGTTATGTTTGGTTCTAGTTGCACTGTTTGACCATGTGATCGGTATTATGTGGGCTGTAATGGATAATTTATCCTTGTGCGTACGTACGCGTGAAAAATAATAGGCAGTGTTCGAAATTTGAACGATACGTTCGAGCGGCATTAAAATTGAAATTTGAACATCCTCCAATGTAATAAACTTTTGTAATATTAAATTAATATAAATATGTAGATTTAATTGTAACAGATTGTAACGACCAGTGATATCGTCGTGTGATTTTCAGCAATTGATCTTGAAGAACTTCTTTCCTTTAAAAAAAAAAAAATTATTTAAATTCCAAATTAAATTTTAGCTGCCGAAATCAAATTATATAAAATTAATCGACTGAAACGAAACGATCACACGTCGAGATATGTTTAAAGGTGTAAAGTAGTCTTCTAATTCTAATTCTATATTCTATATTATTAGTCTTCTAATTCTATATTTCTGAGCAAGAAATATAATCTCCAGCGTTGTCCATTCACATTGTTCTTTCACAATTGCAAACTGACACGTTTCTTAATGTCATCCTATCAATGTCGTTACTTTCTCCTGGGTTGCACGCTGTTTCAACTCTGAAACGTGTAAGAATATTATCAAATTGGTCTTTCCCTTCTTTCTTTCTTTCTTTCTTTCTTTCTTTCGGTCTAATCACAGCGCTTTTTCTTTCTTTTGGAGGATGACGTCATCGTCGTTCGACTGACCATTACCATAATTTCTTGGCCATATTCCTTCACATCAATGCTCTTGGAAGTTTCTTCTCTTTCATCATTTCTAACGAAACATTATGAATTAGTCGTTTTAAAGACAATACAATTGTAAATTTCGTCTGAAATCTAAAATCTCGATGCTCGACAAAATTTACACTTAGGTTAGGTTTGGTGAAACATACATTGAAGATATTAAAGATGTATAAAACTCGAAATAAAAACTGAATGTTACTTGCTGTGTAGAATATATCTGGCCGTGTATTCCTCTTATGAAAATTAATTTTTCAAACGATTAATTGTTTATTCGAAATTCACTTCCCTTGATTATTTTTAAATAAAATTTGCAAACGAAATGCTGCCCATAATGTGCTGTAAAGCACATAGAAACTATCGAAGATGAAATAGCGAAGCAGATAAAGACCAAATTTCGTAAGCCAAGTTTCGCAGGTTCGAAACTCGGTGCTCCGAAGTTCCAGCTTTTTTCGTGCTTGTGTGTTTCTCTCTCCATTGCTCAACGCCAAAAACAGTGTTTTTGAACAGTCCCTGTGTGTTGTCCAGTACAAGTTTTAATCTTTACGTGGTTGTCAAATGGGACTAAAAATAATCTCTCCAAAGAAAATATAGCCAGTGTTCGTATACTCGTGTATTATCGGTACGAACATAGGAATAATTTGGTTACAAAATTATAATTTTTTTCTATTATTATCTCACAGTTCTCAATTCTAAATATTTTTAGTTTCATTTACTTTCATATATTCATTTAGTCAATTGTTTGACAAATATAATACTGAAAATTTGTATTTTTTAAAAACATTTTGGATTTGATACATAGATATTTTCGTTAAGAAATGCATCACTTTCTTATGACGTCGACAGGTTACAGTTTTTTTAATTCGGAGATTCTTTTTTCCCTGAAAAATAATAAGGAAAAATTTTTTCTTTATCTTCCAGAGACATTTTTAATCAATCATAAACAAGTGTTACGCCCATAAATTTCGCAGTCATCCGTCTCTTTCGCTTGTTGCACATTACTACTTATCTATTTCACTGCGGCAGATATTTATTTGTAATCGTGTTTTCAGCGATAAACGATTGGAAGCGCATAAATACTTACGTCAAGCTTGCACTGATAATACTGATAATTAATAATTTTAGCTCTCGCTGAGAAAATAAGATGCTTTATTATACTCTGCGCATATGATAACGTCACTTTGCTCTTGAAAATAATGTTACTCTCTCGCGAATAAAAAAGTTTTTTCACCGATACGAAATATCACTGTGCTTCCTAAACGATGCTATAGTTATCAATATTTATTGTGTCGTTAATTTTTAATTTGTAATTATAGGTATAATAGTTGGCTACGTTAACAACAAGAGTAACGATAAAAATGTAAGATTACCAAAGTAGGTTAAGGTGCCATTTGACATTGCACAAAAAGTATATTTGCCAAAGCTAAATACCTTGTTATTCTTCTTATTAACTATATTTCTGCTTGATATTATTTTCCAAACAAACAGAGTACTCGTATCAGATACTCGATTAACATTCTAAAAATTCTTTTCCTTTTTACGTTCATAACATGAATTTTTTTTTTTTTTTTTTTTTTTTTTTTTTTTGAGATTTCGTTTATTCTTGTTAATTAACAGTTTAATAATTATAGCGCGTGCAGCTCGATATACATATCTCGTACACGAAAATCATCAAGGAGAAATTCATTCGAAAGTATAACATGACTGAATAAGCTTAAGTTCACGAGTGACTGTATAGATTGACTAACGATTGACTAACATGCACTATGGTATAGCTAGATTTGAAAATAATCATCGCTATAAAATTATTATTCTTCTAATAATTCTCATCAACAAAAAGAGGGATTAATCCTTCATCAATAAATATTTCTTTAATCATAATTGCATATATAAATATGCTCCTTCACATAGATTGTTGTATCACTTTAATTCAACACACAGATATATTTTTTTCATTTTTCTGCATATCTTGTTCGTTGGTTTTTATTATTTTTCGGTAACGATATAATTATATATTTATCAGATCGGATATCTTTAACAAAATGTTTCTTACAAAAGTTATTTTCAACACCTTGTTTTTCTATAAACAATCTTTCACTTATTTTGCGTTTTTCGACAGTAATAATCAGTATCTTCTTAAATATAATGATTTTAAAATCATCCTTATCGTCTGAAGTCTTTTTTAAAAATATAAAATTACAGCAGATTTTATGGAAACGTCGATGATCACTTTAATCCTTTTTGATTCAAAACAATTAGTTTTCTTGATCGAAGATTTAAGGAAATCATAGTGCAAAGTTTATAAGTAAAACTTATTTCTGTAAATCAAGAATTGGAATATTTGTATTGAAAAGAAAAAAAAAAAAAAAAAAAAAAATAGAGTAATCACGATACTTGTATAAGAAGAAGTACATCAATTTTTTAGACTTTCAGGTATTTAAACAGGTACGACTATAATTTCATGAAGTGATACTATCATTAACTTCTTCTTTAAATGTACATCCATGTAGAAGATAAAAATATTATAAAGTGAAGACGATCCCGATACTGTTTCTAAACCAGTAACCTTATGCTAGAAATTAATGTAGAAACTTTTAAA